ACGAGTCTCGTATTTCCTCGTGTTATCGTCCACGATTCATAAGCATTCTCGTCGTCGCCTTTTGCTAATAATATCTGTCTTTCCTCTTCCCTTGAGCTACGATGTGTCTCTGAACATGTTTCCCCACCGCCTCTCTCACCCCTTGCTGCACACGCCAAGTAATGAAAGTTGAGTATCAAGGCTTTAGATTACAAAGTTACTGCTAATGACTTGTAATAGATTCTAGGAGGATTACATTTAGGTATATATTATAGATTTTCTTATTAAATCAGACAATCATTTTGTACGCGACATCTGTAAAGGCTGGAAGGTCAGATGCATAGTTTTTTGAAGTGATATAAGGTATGAAGAGCATAAACTCTGTTATTCAAAGCCTTACTGAGCCAAGAGCTAGTCATATATTGCCTTGTTCAGCAGATCCTCAGCCTCAGATACCAAGGCTTTTTGTAACCATTCTAAACCTGTGACTCATGCCACTAGCTTTCTCGACATTTTTTAAAACGACTCTGGTTTAAATACTAATTCACACGAGGCTTCTGAGAAAAAAAATGACACTGGTATCTCTTGTATATATCAGAACTATGATAAACACAGGTAACTGATTTCGTACGAAACTGAGGGGAAATATTTCATACCAATGGAACAGTTTCACTTTATTTTTTCCAGAATTTGAAGTAGGTGTTTAATAAACTTTGGGGCACTTGTTAAAAAAATAGCAAATTTTCTTGTATATTGGCATTCATACATATTGCTGTGCATCTGATAATTATAAACGTTACAGATCCACCATCTACTGTACATAAAAATATTTACGAGAAGTCTACTTCATGTACATTAACAAGATCACACTTTGTATATGGCTTTACCTTTGCTCGTGCTGAGCTTAACATGTGTGACTTTTTTGTTATAATAAAAGGCGGTATGGAAATATGTTAGGATATATTTTAAAAAATATACATATATATATACACACTATATTGATGCGATATATTCTATTACAGTAAAAATGATGGTTTTTGTAGTGGTAGAGTAGACGCTGCCTGATTTGCGGTAGTTTGGCTAAGAAATATTTGCCAACCGCACCTGTAAAGTAGCTCTCTGAACATTAGTTAACCATCATCTACCCCACCCATTTTCTACCTCTAGTATATTTCATGTTTGTACCACCCCTGCCACATTTGCATTACTGTATATAAGGGTTTTTTTATCGGTAACGACTTATTTCCATACAAAAAGGCAGATAGTGATGAAAGTTCATGACTATAATATTGCTTTTATATAGACGCGTAGGAATACGTCAGAATTAGTGATTAGCATGATACGTGGGAAAACGCACGTTTGCTAACATTAAGACATTTGTTGAGAACACATTTCGCCCACCAGGGACCTCTTGAGTCCACTGGATGGAAGCAGCCCCTCGTGTTTTTCCCACATCAGTTGGAATAAACAAAATACAATTGGAATATTTTATCTAGTTCAAAGCTTGTCGACTACGCAATGATCATTGAGGCTGCTTATCACCCATTCACCAGAAGCCAAGATAACCTATTCTAGAGCTCGCGAGGTTCTGATGTAAATTCTTAGATAGGTTATGTAAATTAAGCTGTTTTGTATTACATAAATTTTTAGCAAGGTTAGGTTAGGTTAGATACAAAATTAAGAAGTGGCGCAAATATGAACAATTTTAGTTTTCAAAAAAAATGTTGAAGCTAAGTTTTGGATTGTCCGTGATTCATGAGCCTTGCTATATTTATTGCAAAGAGCTAAACCCGCAAGGGTCATTCAGTGCCTGGAGAACGGAAGGTAATCAGGTTTGGTCCGAGGAAGGATTGGGAAGCTCCAAGTCCTGGGATCAAAGGCCTTCACCAGAGCATCTAAGCACTCCCCTCTTCTGTTGGGAGTGCAGACCGCAGATGCAATTATTCTGGTACATATTTTGTATCATTTGGAACGCCATTATGAAGGATCTTTCGTATGTTTTACTTCAAGATAAGTTTTAGCCTTAGTGAAGATTAAACCAAGCACATACAGTAAAAGGCCTTTATTATTACGTTACTTAATGAGGTTATCAAGCACCTGATTAAGCTCCATACAAGAGAAATGTTTAATAAATGCCTCATTTTGCTGTATGTCTACGCTATACTTCAACAACAATAATTTCAAATATTACATTATTAGGTAAGTTTATTTAGTTGTTAGAGTTACGAAGCCTGATATTCTGCAGCTTGACCACGTCCTGTGATAGTATTGCTGATCCCGGCGACGCTTGGAGGGGAGAGGTAACTCGGAGGGGAGTAAGGCGCCTGGCGGTGCAAGGAATATAGTAACTAATGTGCCGATTCGTGAGAAAATGCGGTGATGATTCTGGCCGTAATTGATTAAGCATTCGAAGCTAGGTTTAACACCCCATTTAAAAATATAGATTGTCAAAATAATTTTTTTTATAGATACACAAATTATATATATAACTAAATAAGCCAGACTTGCTGAATAGGTCGAACTCCCTTAAAAATTAAACTTTTCCTTCTCTTTGTCAATGCCAATGATATAGAGATTTTTATTTTTGGACCAGAACTAACATTGAAACCTGACGCATTTTTTCTTTAGACTAAATTCCGCTATATACAGCAAGTCCTCACTTAACGTTATTTTTCGCTCAACGTCGTTTCGGTGAGAAAAAGAAAATTCCCGGCCAGCAATGGAAAATATTATAAGAAATACATGGATGGAGGATATGCATCTTCGTAACTCCATGTTCGCTAATGGCCATACAAATGAAAGCTTTAAGTTACTTCACGATCTAAAGAAAAAAACAGGGTTCTATTGGTGAAAGTAAAACCTTCGTGGCAAGTCGTGGTTGGCTTGAACGTTTTTAGAAATGTTTAAAACCGCACAACATAGAGATATAAATAAGGTCCTGAGGGCATCCCTCCAAGAGAACCCATAATAATGGATTCAAATTGGATAAGGTCAGATTTAAAAAGGATATAGGTAAGTATTGATTTGGAAATAGGGTAATTGATGAGTGAAATAATCTGTCTAGTAGGGTTATTGAAGATAAAACCTTGGGTAGCTTCAAATTTTGGCTGGATAAATACATGAGTGAGAGGGGTTATATACAAGTTAAAAGGGTTATCAAAGCCTATTGCTTGGGTGGCACTGAAAATTGGTTGGGTAAATATTTTTGCTAGTGGATTGGATTTTACATGGACCTGCCAAGTATTGGCCAATAGGCCTGTCGCAGTGTTCCTCCTTTCTTATGTTCTTAATAACGGGTAAGGCTGCAAGTTACACTTGCAGACTTACCCATCTTTACTATGTCAATTTCCTCCCTTATTGCTGTTTGTATTCGGTTTTTATTATATTTAGCGTGTTTCGTACACGCTAATTATGTCATACCTAAAATAATAGAGTAAATATATGACTCATAGAGCCCTAGAGCGACATACTCCGTAGTCATGGCGTGTGCAGGAGTACTGCCCTCCCTCGCCGTAGGAACTTAACACTTTATTTCAATTAGCCTATGTAAAATTGGTTTCGTTATACGTCGTTTCGCTTAGTCTCAGTTTGCAAGAACCTCTTGATAATGTTAAGTGAGGACTTCCTGTATATCACAAGTTATTTTAAATTTATTTACTATTACTTAAAATCATTGATATATAATTTTTTTCGTAATTCTCAGATTGATTTCCACTGATTTATGACAAAAACAAATTTTAATTCGGCTTATTAGGCCAAACTGGACGATTTAGCTTATTAGGCACGACATTATACACACACACACACACACACACACACACACACACACACACACACACACACACACACACACACACACACACACACACACATATTTACGTGTCATTGAGCCTCTAAAAGCACCACTTTGTTTATTTTTACTTTTAACAGTAAACCCTGAAAATGTGCTTCATAGACAGACTTCATACATATAGCAATGAGTTGCCACAAATCTCCAATGTTATACCATTACGAACATATTCACGGGGGAAGGACGAGAGCTGTAGTGACAACACAGTCCCTGGGGAATGTAAGTGATGGATCAAGAGACGTCCATCGGCACTTAGGAACACTCCCCATACTGTTGAAAAGTTGAAGGATCTCATAAAGTTTCTTCCCTGTACGTGTGGCTAGCAACGCCACCCGTCTTCCACTGACCCTCTACACACAAAATAGCTGTATCGTAATTTTCAATTGCATTAGTTTATACCATAGAGTTTGTAAATATAGTTAAATTTAGAAAAAAAGTGGCGCAGTATACATTCATGGCGATATCCGCTGGTCATGGGGAGAGGGATGAGTTAGAGGATACACAAATATATGTTGATATATTGAGGTATTAATGATTTATTAGACTTTTTTTTTTCAGAATATAAATAGTGATATCTGCTGAGTTTTGTAGCACATAGATAACTTGGTACGTTAAATGTACAGACAACCTTAACATATTTTGTAATATTTGGTAAATTTTGAATGGAATAAAATATTTTTCTCTAGTGGTAGTTATTAATACATTGAGAACAAAAAAGAGCGCTGAATCCTAATGGGTCGTAGAGATAGTTAACTTACCTGTAGAGATAATCTAGTGTTGGCGGCTATCAGCAAGACGAATCTACACTAACTAGGCTGAGATAGAACCATACCTTGTATATCTTCTCGGGGTTATCATGACTGATAGTTACGGGGAAGCACTAAACTCTTAAGAGCCATACAGCACCTTGGGAATGGGAGGTAATCAGGCTTGATCCAATGGAGGGAATTTTTTGTTTTAAATTTCTTGCATCAAGAGACTTTCAATAGCATCAAGACCACCACCTTGATGGAATACTGACAGTCACGACCTTCAACATGCAACAGCAACAGATGTGACCGCTACACCACTAACATCCCTAGAACAATCACATACTCAAACAGGAAGAATATATAGTCGCAGTACAGTGATTGGAACAATTTAGACCTAAGCCACACTTTGGATTGGAAACTTTAGAATGTTTCGGAGTTACACGTGTAACTAAATAAGGATCTAGAATGGACTTAAACGTTGTCTATATATAGGTTCCACTCAGAAATACGAGTTTTGCTACTAACAAACAGAACGACCTGTAATAATTTGTGTACAGTATTGAAAGGTTAATTTAAGAATGTTACAGTTTAAGTTGATTCTCAAGCGATGTGTCTAGTATCACCTCAATTTTCACTGTAAGCTATAACAGTGGTGGTCATGGCAAAATATTACCAATGTAATCTGACGGTAAAAAATAGTGAATCTCCTCACTGTTGTAAATCCTCTGTTATATTCTTCACCTACATCCTTCCTAATCAACGTTGTAAAATACAATTTAATCCATACATGCGAAGCTTTCATTCATGAAGGTATTTTATACACATGTGCTTTTCACTGGGTTATAAGAAAATAATTACATTAAAATGTAATGGATGATAATGGGTGAATCGTTTACAAGTTTCCATCACACTCTTAGCACCAAACATTTCAGTATAATCAAAGTGATGTACTTCAAGCTGAGAGGTGTAACAATTATTATTATGTTCATGGGGATTATGCAGCGCCTTGGGAATGTGAGGCAATTAATATTGATCAAAGGGAAGGTAGCTCCATTGCCCTGGATCAAGAGTCCTTCAGCATTAAGACACCTCTTTTAAAATGCTGATGGGTGTAAGAGCTAAGCTCCAACGGAAGGTTATGTTTGCCTATTTGTGTTACTCTAAGCATTGTTTCCTTGTATAGTAAATTCGTTGCCTACCGATGCCAAGTTTCTCATTATCCTAAATGGTCCTCTGTAAGCCCGAGTGTGTGTGTACTCACCTATTTGTGGTTGCAGGGGTCGAGTCCTAGCTCCTGGCCCCGCCTCTTCAAACGGTTGCTGTGTGTGTGTGTGTACGTATTCACCGAGTTTGTGTGTGTGGGGAGGGGGTCGAGTCTCGGCTCCTGACCCCGCCTCAAACTAAAATCGAAGTCATAATTGATTCCGGGTCTCTTAGACCCTACCTATCAAACGATTGAAACTGCAGTGTTGTCTTTCACCACTTTATCTAACTCATTGCGTTCATTTATGTCAGACAAAGCATTGCCCTAAACCTCTGTGGCTCATCTATGTCTTCAATTTCCATTTATGAGCCCACAAAAAAAAAATCTTATTTATAAATATATATTTTCAACACGTCAGCCGTCTCCCACCGAGGCAGGGTGACTCAGAGAGGAAAAACACTTTCACCATCATTCACACAATCACTGTCTTTGCAGAGACGCTCAGATACGACAATTTAGATGTCGCTTCAAACATCCAATATCCCAACCCCCCTAATTTAAAGTGCAGGCATTGTACTTCCCACTTCCAGGACTCAAGTCCAGCAAGCCAGTTTCCTTGTATCCCTTCACGAAATATTAACCTGTTCACTCTCCAACAGCTCGTCAGTTCCCAAAAACCATTCGTCTCCATACGCTTATACAGGTGCGTCTCCAGACCTTCAATACTTGGGTGATTTATGGGTGCCTAAGAGGGGCGAAGGAGGCTTAGGGGGCTTCATCCACCCTGAACTTTTCATTGACGCCGCCACTGTACTCTGGGAGTTAGGGGATGGGTTGGTTCATTATTATCCCGAGAAACTATTACCAGACCTGCATCATTTTCATAAACCTCCCAAAATGTTGACCCTGCTGACTACCATACATTTGTTGATGTCCATAATATGTCTGTTGTGGTCTGGACTGTGCTCCCTGGTTGTAACTCATCTGTGGCTGTCTCATAACTTGTCTATACATCTGTGGCTGTCTCATAACTTGTCTGTACATCTGTGGCTGTCTCATAACTTGCCTATACATCTGTGGTTTCTTTGAAACTCTCTGACGACTGTAGCTCCGCGGCTGCTGAACAGAAAACATCTGTTGAAACTTCTTAAATTTCCCACGGCTTCTTTGCTGCATTTGTGGGTAAGACATCATCCTCCGTCCTCCTCGCTTTCGGCTGGATCGACGCTTACCCATAGATCTGGAGTTACTACGTCTCCGACTCTGAAATTTTGATTATATTTTTTAAGTACTTTATATATATATATATATATATATATATATATATATATATATATATATATATATATATATATATATATGTCGTTGACCGATATAGCAAAACTTGCGATCTTGGCTTAAATAGCAACGTTCATCTTGTCATATAGGACAAGCGAAAATTTGTGTATGCAATAATTTCTCCAAAATCATTCTGAACCTAACGAAAAAAATATATATTTCACTGTGTTTAGCGCTTCCCCCTTGATTATAATAATAATAATTCACTGTGTTTGTTTAGTACTAATTTATTGTAAACAAATCTAAAATATATTTAGTTGGGTTAGGCTAAAATAAATTGTTCTTGTTATAATAAGGTTAGGTAAGTTTTCTAAGATTCTTTTGGTGCAAAATTAAAATTTTTTACATTAACATTAATGAAAAAAAATGTTTTTAAACATATAATAGCCCTTGTGGCTTAGCGCTTCTTTTTGATTATAATAATAATAATAATTTAAACATATAAGAGAAAATTTTAGAAAAGACTTAATTTTAAATGAGTTCTTGCTAATTAACCAGTTTTACATATTCGGCACGACATTATATATATGTCGTGCCGAATATGTAAAACTGGTCAATTAGCAAGAACTCATTTAAAATTAAGTCATTTCTAAAATTTTCTCTTATACGTTTAAAGATATACTTTTTTCATTAATGTTGATGTAAAAATTTATAATTTTGCACCAAAAGGAACTTAGAAAACTTGCCTAACCTTATTATAACAAGCACAATTTATTTTAGCCTAACCCAACTAAATATATTTTTTATTTGTTTACAATAATTTAATACTAAACAAACACAGTGAAATATATTTTTTTTCGTTAGGTTCAGAATGATTTTGGCGAAATTATTGCATACACAAATTTTCGTTTGTCCTATATGGCAAGATGAGCGTTGCTATTTAAGCCAAGATAGCAAGTTCTGCCTATAGCCTGAGCTTGATACCATCATGAGCTCATAAGACTTGCCATCCACGAGCCCTTTTAGGGCGGCAGATGGCAGACCATAGGCTAGCTTCTCCCTACGAGCCGTGAGGGGGGGAATGTGGTAGGCTGGGACAGTGGTCCCAAATGAGAGAGGGTACTTGTACACCCCATGGGAACTTAAGTCTTAGACATCCCCAGATGGATCAAGGGGTACCACTACTTGGAAAAAGACCGGGCCGGAGAGTACGAGGATAAAAAAATACAAAAAAAAAAAAAAAAAAGTTCTGCCTATTGGCACGAGATTATATTATATTATTATATATTGTGAATTATATATATCTATGATTAATATATTATATATTATGAGCGCCGGTACATGGACTACTAGTGAAGACGCGAAATACTTGCATTTTGCTTCTAGATAATGAGACTCCATTTGATTAGGTTATCTTATAATACGTTAATAATACGTAAAAAAGGTCTATCAACTCATCCTTCTTCCTTCTCCACCTTATTTTTGGTGAGTAAATGTCAGGATTAAAGGAATTAATAGTTGTCCTTTTTTCCCAACTTGGACCAAATTATTCCCATTCCAGAAATGACCCATAATTAGTTTAGCTGTTCTCTATGAATACATAATATATAAGTCTATCAACGTCATCTTATCCTTCTCACTATATAATACATGTTAGGTAAAAGGACATGTTGACTACTGTTACATTTTATTGTGGCAATGTTTAGCTCTCCAATAGAACGACAAGTTGGCACAATAAAATGTCACATTAGTTGTACATATGTCCTTTTTCATAACGGCGTCGATAATTCTACCATATTATTTATTACATATCTTGAGTCACCTCACCTGTCGTCTCCCACCTGAGGACTTTTTAATTGTTCTCTTTGATCTTCGATGGCGAGGTTCACTGCTGCTGCGAGTTAGTCCATCAGACTCTTCAAGGCTCAGCTCTCTGGAGTTTTTGTCGTTTGGCTCTAAATTGCTTCCGTAACTAAGTTCTGCTGATTGTGTTACTGTGACACCAAGGTGTGGAGAATGCGCCAGTCGGATTTCCTCCTCATTTTCTGTCTTCAGCTTCACGTCAAAGACCTGGGACGTAGTTTCACTTGTCAAGTCTCTACTACAGTCCCACTCTCCCGTGTCAACAATTCCCTCTATGAGCTCAAGGCCCTGAGAGACTGACGATCCTGTAAACGAACGTATGACTAGGATTAACAGCCAGTCTACTGATCCATGCTAGGCAGGATCCGAGTAAGCTACAGGTGCACAATCTGGATGTCTTTTTCTCGAAATGTTTCACCTGCACTCAACTGAAGAAAACTGAGCAGACGAAACATTTCAACAAAGATGACAAACTGTTAAACTTACCTTTCTCATCTACTTCTCGGAATTGTAAACACTACTACAATGACTAGCAGGTTCTACTGACATTTTATCATCCCTATTAATGTGATGCAATCAGTTTTGATCCAAGGAGGATCAAAAGCTATTTGTTCGCTAGCATCAAGACTCGATTGTTTGTTGAATAGGTAAAAACCAGGTTCACGAGGGACAGAAGTTATAAGACACAAGAGAGTCACAGGGATGTTAGGAATGATCTCTTCAGCCTTAGAGTAGTTAGGAAGTGAATCGACCTGGTCAATGTAAAAATATTTGTTTTGTATACATAAAAAAGGACTAAGCTGGAATGGGATTATAATGTAAAACCCCTTTTACTGTTTTGACTTTACGACATTTCTGTCATTCCAAAACCATTATCAAAACGGGAATAAGATGAAACACAAAAACGTATGATGACTAATGAATAAATACATTCACGAGGAAGAGCTAAGCCCGTAGGTGTTATAAAGCTCCTGGGAAATGGGAGAGTGCTTTTCTTTTTGAGGAACATGAGGAAGCTGGGATTCGAAAGGAGTTTTGCATGAGCTCTTGGTGCACTGACTGAGACAAATAAGAAACACAATGATTGTTCCAGCATTTTATTGTGAAGACGTCCCGTGTATAAGGGACTTTATCAAGGTGAACTGATAAAAGCCCCTGCTGGACAAAACGTCACCATTAAATGCCATTATCGGCATTGTGTGTCGTATTTACACACCTGTATACTCTACCAGTGTATCACCTGGTGGAGACTGATAAATTGACAGCAGTTGGAAAGAAAAAATATAGCACTGGAGCAGTTAAGTCCTTTATTTATATAACGTTTCGCCAACACTGGGCTTTTCCATAAACTTGATGTTGGGTGAAACGTTGTGTAGATAAAGGATTCCATTGCTTTATTGCAATTTTTTACGACTGATGCATATGAATGATAGTTAACAATGGTTTCTCTGAATAAAAATGCATAGCTTTGGCAGCAGCATCTGGGTAAAAGAAGACTTCACTGCTCCTTGTATTGAAGGCAGAGCTGGACAATACTTCCGACTAAATGGGTAATGCCAAGATAGAGCAGAGCAACCTTTACTCATTTCACTCAAGGATACCTTTATTATATCAGAGCTTAATGAGAGCGATATCAAGATTTGTTATATACTGCTCACCGTTCCTCGAGGAATTAGACAACTCATCGGTTCTGTACACCATTAATGTTATGATACTCACCATCCCTCACAGTCAAGCGTCAGCGCCGAAGTTAGCAATACTGCCACCTTTCCAGCTCTCCAGGGCAAGGACGCAACACACAGCACACCATCTGAAGAATGTTGTCCCGCTCCTCATTCTAAGAGAACAAAATGATCATTCTTCACTGAAAATAGTGTAAGTAGTAATGAGCTGTGATACTAATTAAGCACTTTAACCGTGTACTTCTCTGGAAAAAAAAAGGAATTGAACAAATACTATCATATCACCTTATAATAAGCATCAGCGTCAGTTAAAAGTCCCATCAACAATAATATAAAAATAATTCCTTAGCCATTACAGGTCATACAGTACTGCTAAATCGCTAACATATAGTGCAGAAAAGAGAGAGTACTAAAACAATTATTATAACCTCAGTTTTCCCTTGTATAGGTATATTGAAAACCATCAACTAGAACACCAGGACTAAACGAGTTACCTCAGCTCAAGAAGAGGGATTAAAAGGTAAAATCCTCTTTCGGTAAATTGTTATAAACAAATGACAGATTTAAGGAGACAGGCAAATAAGGATGGGCATATTGCATATTCCTTGACTACATTAAGGTCTTTGACACGTTACTGCGCAGAAAAATAAAGAAACTAAAATTCGAGGTAGATAAGAAGGGTAAAATAATAGATTAAGATATACCTAAATAAGCTAACAACCAGTTCTGGTACCTCACATTCTTTACGATAAGTTAACATCCTCATGGGCTTAGAAACGTGCATGTCAGTGTTTGCAGGTTGCTTAACTTAAAACATTAAGAAGCTGGCTCAGAAGAGCCTCAAACGGAAGAAAGTACAACAATTTAGTATATTAAAAACTATCGACTGTATATACGTCATTAAAGCTACGTATCACCCCTACATTGACACCAAGAATATCTAAAGCAGGCATTAAACAGAACTCTCACAGTAAATACAGAGATACCCACTCGTGTAATAAGAGGCATATTCCTCTTATTACACACCGTGAGATACACAGCTCTTGGTGTATATAAAATAACAGATACACACCTCTAGGTGTACATACAACGTAATAAATCTTTTACCTATACCTGAATGTGTGTGTGGAAGGCAAGTGAAGATCCGTTACTGTGAGCAGACTGCTACCCGACACCCAGACTCACGGCTTTTGTAGCGTCGCCGACCATTTAACTCTTGACCTTGTACAAGTTAACCTATGACCTGTCTCAGTACCAACAACGAGTAGCCTTGTACGGAGCACAGGATGTACACACAGTGAGGTTAGTTACCATTTTGCCCTAGGTACATGTCGATTAGACACTAGGCCTGTTGTATGTGCGTGTGTATGTCTCTCAGTGTACATGCGGAGAATTTCACTTTAATCATTACTTTAGGCATTAAAGTATTCTTGAATGGTGATGAATAGGCGACATACAGCCTTAACGATCCGAGTTTAGTAGCTAGGATTCAAACTCCTTTAACCAAAAAAAAAAAAAAAAAAAAAAAAAAAACGAGATGCTCATGCATGTTATTGTCTTTGTTTACGCTTATCAATATATTATTACATGTAATCTGCACATGGTATACCATACAAAGAAATAAACATTTGAATTTAAGTTTGAATCCGCCATGTCTACCCTTCGAAAGGGAAGGGTTTAATGGCGGTGTAGGACAATTCCTCCTTTCTCGGTTTGCTTCATAAATAATTAGTATTAATTAGTAACTAATGATGATACAATAAGTACAGATTTATAAAATAAAATATTAATGAAATATAACTATCCCCCGGTATGCAACAAAGACAGTCAACTTTCACCAAGGTATCTATTTATTAGGATATTTGATTCTAATGGTTATAATCATAACTATGATTTTTAAAGAGGTGGACCGGTAAGCCAGCTGAAGTCCTCGATCAAATGACCAAAAGCTCCAGCTGTGGGTCATCATATAACTAAGATTCGCGTTAGGAAACACTTGTCCTGCTTGCTGACAAACATACTTATTTATGAGGTTACTGTTAATGAACCGTTCAAATGCAGACTTGTTGATCAACTTCTAACTGATGGTTTCAAACGCTAGTTTAATATCTGCCATTGTTAGTTATGGGGTTTAAGACCTATCAACTTCACAAGGGTTATTAACGCTGCATATAACATGTTCACCACAGGTCAACAATACTTTAATCCTAAAACAGGAACATGTGTATAAACACAGACACGAACACATCTTGGTGTATTTATTCTGTATCTGCCTTACCTGGAGTTTACCTGGAGAGGGTTTCCCAAAATTTACAGAAAATAAATTTCATGAAATTCTGCAACAGCCGACAGAATGACTTGTTACCACTGTTAGCTGATTCACAAATAATTCACATTTTCGAGAGGAAATTCCAATTGGCGTTTAGGCTAGTCATGGACCATTATCAAAGCCAAGTTATTTGATAATGGTTCAGGATGGACCGAAACATCATTTAAAGTTTTGTATCCAAAGTGTGAGTTAGTTGTGAATTGTTCCAGCAACAGTATTGTAACTTTTATTCTCATTAATTTCAGTTGGCTTCCCACGTTGAGAGTTGAACAATAGTTGAATACGGGGAGAAAACTATTAGAGAAAAAGTTGTTTCTCTTGTTTGTTATTTGTGGGGAAAAAGAACGTGCGTTATAACCTTGTCCTCGACCTGTAGGTACGACCTTCTCACCAGTAGGTACGACCTCCTTATCTTGTCCCACGTCCCTCATACGCCCATAGGATACGCGCTACTTGTCGAAATCTGTGTTCTCACGACAATAAAGGTTTCACTTGGATTGCTATTGTTGGTGCTGGTATTGCTGACTTGGCAGAACAAGGTTCAGTAGATGGATTACAATGACAATTAGATATAGTGGATATCTTTATTAACCTCCATTAATGCCATATGGGACAGAGTCAGATGAATCCATTGTTTGTTAATGGCCCGGTGGCCTGGTGGCTAAAGCTCCCGCTTCACACACGGAGGGCCCGGGTTCGATTCCCGGCGGGTGGAAACATTTCGACACGTTTCCTTACACCTGTTGTCCTGTTCACCTAGCAGCAAATAGGTACCTGGGTGTTAGTCGACTGGTGTGAGTCGCATCCTGGGGGACAAGATTAAGGACCCCAATGGAAATAAGTTAGACAGTCCTCGATGACGCACTGACTTTCTTGGGTTATCCTGGGTGGCTAACCCTCCGGGGTTAAAAATCCGAACGAAATCTTATCTTATCTTATCTTAAGAATAGAAATCATTGATTACAAGGAAAGGCTACAAATGAATTTTGATAAACTGCAAGATTGGTCGGATGAGTTTCGCCCACTGTGGAGGCGAATTGTAGGTAATGTAGGTATTCACTGTATCTGAGCATTATTTACGCCTTCTCCGTATTTACATACCATTATATTGCCATTATCCTGTAAGGGCGAAATGCCTTAGGGCCCAAAAATGTTAGAACACAAACGCAAATTATGAAACAATATTAATCTGGAAATCATTTCCTTACATGTAGAGCGAAACGTTGGCTGAGTTTTTAAATGCGTGTTCCGCAGCTTGCATCTTTATATTCAGGTCCAACTAAGATGACAGTTTAATATGATGGCTTGTGCTCATTACACCAAGAAGTGTATGACTGTCAGTGCATATACGAGAGGCGCATATACACAGCGATATACATTTCAGCTGTTTATATATCTAGAGATAAGATAAGATATAAGATTTCGTTCGGATTTTTAACCCCGGAGGGTTAGCCACCCAGGATAACCCAAGAAAGTCAGTGCGTCATCGAGGACTGTCTAACTTATTTCCATTAGGGTCCTTAATCTTGTCCCCCAGGATGCGACCCACACCAGTCGACTAACACCCAGGTACCTATTTGCTGCTAGGTGAACAGGACAATAGGTGTAAGGAAACGTGTCGGAATTTCCACCCGCCGGGAATCGAACCCGGGCCCTCCGTGTAGAGGTATGCGAATATCGATGAATATACACTCAGTTACATTCCTCTGGATAAATACTGTGAGAGATACCCACATATACCCAGACAAACACACATTTGAGTGTATATTGCCAGTGACATGAGCATCCAACAGTTCAGTGGTTCCCACTACAACAACGGAATAATTCCGTGTTTTTTTAATCGTCTGTTTACGCATTGTAACCACTAACAACGGTGAGACTGAACTTTTAAGTAACTTAAGGGAAAAAAGTTGTAGCCTTGAATAAAACTAATCGTGATGTCTCCTTGATTTTTTAAAACTTCCTTGGAAACCCCGGGTTAGAATCCCATAGTTTCAGGTGCCCTACGAAAAGCATTCTCTCCAAGGAAGGGGAAGAGGGTAACTTGATGCTGCTGAAAGGCTATTAATTATAGAAACTGGACCAATCCTATGCTACTACTTATTAAAACTGATCAACTTCCTTGCTTTTACAGTGGCCCGTGGCCTAGTGGCGAAAGCTCTGGCTTCACACGGTGAGTGTCCGGGTTCGATTCCGGGCGAGGGTTGAAACATTGGGCGTGTTTACTTACACAGGTTGTCTATGTTCCTCATTAGTCAAATTGGTACCTGGGTGTTAGTCGACTGGTGTGGGTCGCATCCTGGGACAAAACTAACAATTTTCCCGACTAACAATTTTCCCGACTAACAATTTTCCCGGCACAGTACTCGCTCCCATCTTGTTTCTCATCCTCATATCTGACATAGACAAGGATGTCAGCCACAGCACCGTGTCTTCCTTTGCAGATGACACCCGAATCTGCATGACAGTGTCTTCCATTGCAGACACTGCAAGGCTCCAGGCGGACATCAACCAAATCTTTCAGTGGGCTGCAGAAAACAATATGAAGTTCAACGATAAGAAATTTAAATTACTCAGATATGGTAAACATGAGGAAATTAAAACTTCATCAGAGTACAAAACAAATTCCTTCCACAAAATAGAGCTAAAAACCAACGTCAAAGACCTGGGAGTGATCATGTCGGAGGATCTCACCTTCAAGGACCATAACATTGTATCAATCGCATCTGCTAGAAAAATGACAGGATGGATAATGAGAACCTTCAAAACTAGGGACACCAAGCCCATGATGACACTCTTCAGGTCGCTTGTTCTATCTAGGCTGGAATATTGCTGCACACTAACAGCACCTTTCAAGGCAGGTGAAATTGCTGACCTAGAAAATGTACAGAGAACCTTCACGGCGCGCATAACGGAGATAAAACACCTCAATTGCTGGGAGCGCTTGAAGTTCCTGAACCTGTACTCCCTGGAACGCAGGCGGGAGAGATACATGATTATATACACCTGGAAAATCCTAGAGGGACTAGTACCGAACTTGCACACGAAAATCACTCACAACGAAAGCAAAAGACTCGGCAGACGATGCAACATCCCCCCAATGAAAAGCACGGGTATCACTAGCACGTTAAGAGACAATACAATAAGTGTCAGGGGCCCGAGACTGTTCAACTGCCTCCCAGCATACGTAAGGGGGATTACCAATAGACCCCTGGCTGTCTTCAAGCAGGCACTGGACAAGCACCTAAAGTCGGTACCTGACCAGCCGGGCTGTGGCTCGTACGTTGGATTGCGTGCAGCCAGCAGTAACAGCCTGGTTGATCAGGCTCTGATCCACCAGGAGGCCTGGTCACAAATCGGGCCGAGGGGCGTTGACCCCCGGAACTCTCTCCAGGTAAACTCCAGGTATGCTCCGCATAACAAGCGGCTTTGTGTATAGTAGTATGTCATTAATATCAGGTAGGCCTTTACACCTTGTACATGTACTTGTACAAATAATTATAATATCAATTATTGTAAGGTCGTCCCAGCAACGGCGGGGTTATGTTTCGAGGTGGTCAGTCTCACGTCCCGGAGAGGAGTTCTCCAAGTCTGGAACAATGTGAAGCTGAGGTATCAGAACGGAGACATATTCTGTCGAAGGTGAGATGTAGAAAATCTTGAGAAAAGAGGCGGGGTCCACTCGTGAAGCAAAACAACTTGGTAAGTCCCTCTCAAATCCAACCTTTCTTACTTGAAACTAGTGGTCAGGCAGTAAAGTTGTCGAAGATGTCCTCTGTACCAAGATAATACTGTGTTGTAGTGTCTGACCAAGATAACACTGTGTTGCAATGTCTGATAGTGGGTAAACGATAATCGAAGATCATAACGGAAGCCAGATTTATTAGTTTTCCTGGGTTATCCTGTTTTACAACACATCTGGTTAAAATCAAGTCAATGATATCTCCATTTTAATGCTAAGGATCTGCATAAGGAAAAGGAGTTTCACGTTTGTAGGAGGTAATTGTTGCCGAAAATCCCGAAAACAAAAATTTAGATGAGTGTCTGATGAAAAAGATTATATGTTAGTGAGAGAAAACGAATACCACTGATAGTTTGAAGGGTAACTAAGCTACGTTTTTAGTAACACACGAGATAAGATAAGATTTCGTTCGGATTTTTAACCCCGGAGGGTTAGCCACCCAGGATAACCCAAGAAAGTCAGTGCGTCATCGAGGACTGTCTAACTTATTTCCATTGGGGTCCTTAATCTTGTCCCCCAGGATGCGACCCACACCAGTCGACTAACACCCAGGTACCTATTTGCTGCTAGGTGAACAGGACAACAGGTGTAAGGAAACGTGTCGAAATGTTTCCACCCGCCGGGAATCGAACCCTGGCCCTCCGTGTGTGAAGCGGGAGCTTTAGCCACCAGGCCACCGGGCCGCTAAGTCTTATTTCTTAATTTGCTGTTTATTTCGCATTGAATACCTTATAGGTGGGTGCCTTTATACTTGAAAAGAGTTCTTGATGTGAGAAATTTTGACTAACCTCCATTTCGTCAAATTATCATTACTCTCCCACTAAACCTATCTCCCATGCATTGCACGATTCATAAAGAGATAACGTTTCCCTGTTATAATATGAAACGAGCATCATACCATCATTGTCCTACTTTTTTGTCTGTTATCTGTCAGTGATTCCTGGGATCGCCACATCTGCCGTCCGGTTTTAATCAAGGCCTCCTTAATTAACAGAGAAGGAAATATTGCATGATTAAGGTTTATTTCTAAGAAATACCGGAAAATGAAGTGAATACCGAATTTAAGGATTTTTAACAAACCAATTTTGCAAACTAAGAGCTATTATTCTGCCTCAGGTATTTTCAAAGCCCAGCCCTGTCTGAGGTATATAACCCCTGGACCAATTATGTACCTCTGTAATCTTCTGACTACCGCCCACAGGATGGGTATGGGGTGCATAATAAACATATTAAACTAACTAACTAAAACACCACCATAGGGTGGGTATATATACTTACGTTTGTCGTGTCTAATAAGTCGAATCGACCAGTTTGGCTGAAATTAGACGAATGAAAATTTGTTTTTTCCATAAATCAGCGGAAATCGATCTGAGCATGAAGACAGAATTGTATATCATTGATTTAATGAAATATTAAATATATTTAAATTGACCAATGATATATATCGCAGAATTTAGCTTAAAAAAACTATTAATTTTACGGAGGTTAGGAGAGGTTTTGGTATAAAAATAAAAGTCCTTTTTTTTTGTAAAAAAAAAATTTTTTTGAAAAGTTTAAATTTTAAGAGAGTCTGGCCTACACAATGAAATATATATTTCTTCGTTAGGTTCAGAATGATTTTTGCAAAATTATTACATACAAAATTTTTCGCTAGCTTTATTCGGCAATAAGAGCGTTGCTATTTAAGCCAGAATCGCAAGTTTTACCTATTCGGCACAACATATATATATATATATATATATATATATATATATATATATATATATATATATATATATATATATATATATTATATATATATATATATATATATATATATAGCATATGAGAAGTTTTTACAAAGTAGAAGTGATGCAAGGAGGGAAGAGTATATGGAGAAAAAGAGAGAAGTTAAGAGAGTGGTGAAGCAATGTAAAAAGAGAGCAAATGAGAGAGTGGGTGAGATGTTATCAACAAATTTTGTTGAAAATAAGAAAAAGTTTTGGAGTGAGATTAACAAGTTAAGAAAGCCTAGAGAACAAATGGATTTGTCAGTTAAAAATAGGAGAGGAGAGTTATTAAATGGAGAGTTAGAGGTATTGGGAAGATGGAAGGAATATTTTGAGGAATTGTTAAATGTTGATGAAGATAGGGAAGCTGTGATTTCGTGTATAGGGCAAGGAGGAATAACATCTTGTAGGAGTGAGGAAGAGCCAGTTGTGAGTGTGGGGGAAGTTCGTGAGGCAGTAGGTAAAATGAAAGGGGGTAAGGCAGCCGGGATTGATGGGATAAAGATAGAAATGTTAAAAGCAGGTGGGGATATAGTTTTGGAGTGGTTGGTGCAATTATTTAATAAATGTATGGAAGAGGGTAAGGTACCTAGGGATTGGCAGAGAGCATGCATAGTTCCTTTGTATAAAGGCAAAGGGGATAAAAGAGAGTGCAAAAATTATAGGGGGATAAGTCTGTTGAGTGTACCTGGTAAAGTGTATGGTAGAGTTATAATTGAAAGAATTAAGAGTAAGACGGAGAATAGGATAGCAGATGAACAAGGAGGCTTTAGGAAAGGTAGGGGGTGTGTGGACCAGGTGTTTACAGTGAAACATATAAGTGAACAGTATTTAGATAAGGCTAAAGAGGTCTTTGTGGCATTTATGGAGTTGGAAAAGGCGTATGACAGGGTGGATAGGGGGGCAATGTGGCAGATGTTGCAAGTGTATGGTGTAGGAGGTAGGTTACTGAAAGCAGTGAAGAGTTTTTACGAGGATAGTGAGGCTCAAATTAGAGTATGTAGGAAAGAGGGAAATTTTTTCCCAGTAAAAGTAGGCCTTAGACAAGGATGTGTGATGTCACCGTGGTTGTTTAATATATTTATAGATGGGGTTGTAAGAGAAGTAAATGCGAGGGTCTTGGCAAGAGGCGTGGAGTTAAAAGATAAAGAATCACACACAAAGTGGGAGTTGTCACAGCTGCTCTTTGCTGATGACACTGTGCTCTTGGGAGATTCTGAAGAGAAGTTGCAGAGATTGGTGGATGAATTTGGTAGGGTGTGCAAAAGAAGAAAATTAAAGGTGAATACAGGAAAGAGTAAGGTTATGAGGATAACAAAAAGATTAGGTGATGAAAGATTGAATATCAGATTGGAGGGAGAGAGTATGGAGGAGGTGAACATATTCAGATATTTGGGAGTGGACGTGTCAGCGGATGGGTCTATGAAAGATGAGGTGAATCATAGAATTGATGAGGGAAAAAGAGTGAGTGGTGCACTTAGGAGTCTGTGGAGACAAAGAACTTTGTCCTTGGAGGCAAAGAGGGGAATGTATGAGAGTATAGTTTTACCAACGCTCTTATATGGGTGTGAAGCGTGGGTGATGAATGTTGCAGCGAGGAGGAGGCTGGAGGCAGTGGAGATGTCATGTCTGAGGGCAATGTGTGGTGTGAATATAATGCAGAGAATTCGTAGTTTGGAAGTTAGGAGGAGGTGTGGGATTACCAAAACTGTTGTTCAGAGGGCTGAGGAAGGGTTGTTGAGGTGGTTCGGACATGTAGAGAGAATGGAGCGAAACAGAATGACTTCAAGAGTGTATCAGTCTGTAGTGGAAGGAAGGCGGGGTAGGGGTCGGCCTAGGAAGGGTTGGAGGGAGGGGGTAAAGGAGGTTTTGTGTGCGAGGGGCTTGGACTTCCAGCAGGCATGCGTGAGCGTGTTTGATAGGAGTGAATGGAGACAAATGGTTTTTGATACTTGACGTGCTGTTGGAGTGTGAGCAAAGTAACATTTATGAAGGGATTCAGGGAAACCGGCAGGCCGGACTTGAGTCCTGGAGATGGGAAGTACAGTGCCTGCACTCTGAAGGAGGGGTGTTAATGTTGCAGTTTAAAAACTGTAGTGTAAAGCACCCTTCTGGCAAGACAGTGATGGAGTGAATGATGGTGAAAGTTTTTCTTTTTCGGGCCACCCTGCCTTGGTGGGAATCGGCCGCTGTGATAATAAAAAAAAATATATATATATATATATATATATATATATATATATATATATATATATATATATATATATATATATATATATATATGTTTGAACAAGAGTCCTTCACTAGCATCAAGACATCAATCTCCAAGAGAGCACATTTTATTTTTTTTAAAGAAGGTACCTGGAGTTTACCTAGAGAGGATTTTCGGGGGTCAACGCCCCCTCGACTCAGTCTGAGACCAGGCCTCGTGATGGATCAAGGTCTGATCAACCAGGCTGTTACTGCTGGCCGCATGCAAACTGACGTAGGAACGACAGCCCGGTTGGTCAGGTACGGTAATCACTAGTGCTGAAAGAACTGTGGAATTTGTGTCGAGGAAGTGATATTGATGAATAAAACTGCATGGTTTTCCTGTGTCCTTGTCCTGCGGAGGTTGATGAGTGTTGTTTTACCATCCTGGAGTCGTGATTTTCTTCGTGGTGAATAAGCGACTTGCTGCCTCAATAAGAGTTGTGTATCTCAAGGCTTTAAGCTCGGTTAGCCAACCAGTCCAACTGGTCGACAAGAGTTACAACACATGGGGGAATGTATATGTATAATATTAAATTGTAAAAATTATTGAGGGAGTCAAACATTTTTTTCAGTTCATACGACGTATGATTCAGAACGTTTATTTCAGCATCTTATGAACGCTGAATGCTGACCAGTAGCTCATCCAGTGTATGAGGGTGATTTGAATAACTTCTTTAATATGAACACCATTCTTGTAATTGGTGATCACTGAAGCAAAAAGACAATGGAGAAGAAAACCGCAAATATTTTCCACAGGTAGCTCGATGGCTAACTCACTCGGCTAACACATTGAGGTCCAGGGATCGATTCCCCCGGTACGGCTGGAAAACATCAGGACGTGTTTCCATAAGACACCTTCTGTCCCTGTTTACCGATTGCTAAAATGGGTACCTGGGTATTAGTCGACTGGTGTGGGTCACATCCTGGGACAATTGACCTAATTTGCCCGAAATGCTCTGCATAACAAGGGGCTTTCTATATAGTAGTATGTCACTGATGTCAGCTAGGCCTATATACCTTCTACATGTACTTGTAGAAGTAAGGATATATTTATATAGATATAATAATCAATCTAGTTTTAGGATTGACTCGCCATGCGCTCGTATCTTATTTATCCGCTTCTCTATAATGTGGGGGAGGGGGTTCCCTTAGCGTGCGATGGGGCTATTGCTCGAAGGAATTAGAGGGTTTGTCCCCTTCCTTGAATCGAATGTAATACACCAACCTCCCCAACCCCTTGCATTTGTCCTTCTTATTGGGGAAATTTCCCCCCTTAGTAAATTTCAGTTCTTAGGTACAGAAAGTAAAGGGAATCGTTATTCACCCTTGTTCCAGTGTGGACCTTGGTGGTAGTGCTGTCATCTGGGGACGTGGTGGGCGGCCCTCTGGTAACCAAGGACGGCCGCGCGTGTTCCTGGTTGACGGAAGCACTGAGGAATTGAACACACATGCAGTTTCTGGGTATCTCTCGTTTGTAGACATTTCGTGATACATGATTACTAAAACATATAGATCAACATGAATTTCGAGCATTTTAAAAAACGTTATTGCTAACAGCACATTTATGAAGGTAAAGAAAGTCGCTTGTCATACCTCCATGCCGATAGAGATGCTGGTATAATGATACCATATAAATTGGATATTCAATATGAATGATATCTTTGCTGTATAGAAGCGGTTACAGTCATTGAGACACCTCTTCCCAGCATCTCATCTGGTATCCTATCTTAGCTCACTGGATAAGAGAAGTTATTAAGTGTCAAATTCAAATTCAAATTCAAAGTTTATTCTCCATAAGGATTACAATGCTGAGTTTACAGAATTTGGTTATTGTGTGGTTTACATGTAGTAAAATAATGATTACAGAGTGTACCACTAGAACACCTAGCATGGCTAGGCATTTCGGGCAGACTTAGTTTAATTCGTAATTTTAAAATATTACAAATTATGAGGTAAGTTGGTATTATGGCTAAGTGACTAAATACTAGTTTGTGAGTTTAGCAATGTGAATGCTTTTGTTTTGGCACAGTACATAGTTTCAGTATTGGAGTATCACAGGATTCATTATTTTAAGATTGAGATTAATATTTCTGTTTATGGTCAAATGGGTGAGTGAGTGTAGTTAGTTGACGGGGTGTATCAGGGAGATAAGATGTTTTCTAATGGTAGTTTTGAAGGTGATGAATGTGTCTGCAGTTCTAGAGTTCTCAGGTAGGGTGTTCCAGATTTTAGGGCCTTTGACATACATTGAATTTTTGTAAAGGTTTAGTCGGACACGGGGAATGTCATAGAGATGTTTGTGTCTGGTGTTATGCCTGTGGGTTCTGTCACAACTATCAAGAAAGCGTTTTAGATCAAGGTTGATATTGGAGTTTAAGGTCCTGTAGATGTAGATTGCACAGTAGTAGGTGTGGATGTACTGAATAGGGAGTAAGTTTAGATCTGTGAAGAGTGGGGGGGTGTGTTGCCAGGGATGGGATTTAGAGATTATTCTTACTGCAGCTTTTTGTTGGGTTATTATTGGCTTTAGGTGTGTTGCTGCAGTTGATCCCCAAGCACAAATAGCATAGGTGAGGTATGGATAAATAAGTGAGTGATATAGTGTGAGAAGGGCATTTTGCGGCACGTAGTATCGTATCTTGGAGAGGATCCCAACTGTTTTGGATACTTTTTTGGTTATGTGTTGGATATGGGTGCTGAAATTCAAGTTGTTGTCAAGGTATAGGCCTAGGAATTTGCCCTCATTATGTCTGGTAATTAGAGTGTTGTCGATCTTTATGTTAATTTGTGCATCTCCTGCTCTGCTACCAAACATAATATAGTAGGTTTTGTCAGTGTTAAGCGTAAGTTTATTGGCTGTCATCCAAGTCGATATTTTGATCAGCTCCTCGTTAACAATGGTGTTGAGGGTGCTGTAGCTCGGTTGACAGCGCACTCAGCTTATGCATTGAGGCCCGTGGTTCGATCCTCAGTATTGGTGGAAACATCCGGGCGTGTTTCCAAAATACTTGTTGTCCCTGTTCACCTAGCAGTAAATAGGTACCTTGGTGTTAGCTGACTGGTGTGAGTCGCATCCTGGGCACAAAAATAATTAATTTTCCCGAAATGCTCTACATAACAATGGACTTTCTATATATAAGTAGTATGTATAAGGTATGTATAGGCCTATACAAGTTGTATTATGTAGATTATTATCAGTTCATTTACATCCTTAAGAGCTGTTATTTTACCTTATCCAGTGTGTTGTAACATTCCGCAAGATGCCAACCACAACAGTCGACTAATAACCAGGTACCTAATTGCTACTAAATGAACAGAGGACGCAAGTATAGAGAAACTTGCCTATACATCAGGGATCGACAATTATCTAGACTGGCAGACATCACTAGCACAGCAGGCTAAGATAAGCTTCGTGGCCCTCACACTCTCGTCAATGAAAAAATATAAATTGTTTAATACTAGCTGATGTTCATGTCTTCAATCATTTTGACAATTTGTAATCAACAATTACATCCGGTATTTAAATCTAGTATTAATAAATTACTCTCAAATTGCTCTTAAAATGCTGCAATCTTCAGAATACCGGTGACTTAACCTGATTCTATTTTCCTCTTCTCCTCTCTTCCCCTTTCCTCTTTACTCTTTCTCCTTTCGGTTTTCTTTCTTCTGCCTTGGATATTTGTTCTTCATTATTTTTCCCCCTTCTGTGTTCTTGCTCCTACCCTCTGCGGGCCCCTAGCTCCCTTGTGGGCCCCTAGCTCCCTTGTGGGCCCCTAGCTCCCTTGCAGTGCTCCTCTTTCTTAGTATTTGACTGATTCCACTACTACCTCTCTTGTCCCGTCCATGTCTACTGGTCTATATATACTCCTGTGACTTTGTAAATGGTTCAAGTTGGACCGAAACGTCGTCGTAAGCTCCTCGTTTCTATGTACCGGTTATTTGTGTATATTCTTAAGAGGGTTTTCGTTACGAACAGTAATCTGTAGCAAACTTAAAAAGTGACTTAACCGATTGTTTTCCTCCTGACGAGACAAAATATATTTTGTCATAAATGTCATGGTATTGAGATCCAGGGGTTGATCCCTGGTATGGGTAGAAACATTAGGGCGCATTTCCGTAAGACACCTGCTGTCCATGTTCACCCATCAGTAAAATAGGTACTTGTGGGCCGCATCCAGGGGACAAAACTGACCAAATTTGCCCTAAGTCCTTTGTATAATAAGGGGTTTTCTATATAGTAGTATGTCACTGATGTCTGCTAGGGGCCACCAGGCGGATATATGAAAATACAAACTCTGGAACACAGATGGCGCTGACATGCCCTGAAATACTATACTAAGTAATTCAATCGTTGGCAAGTCTTACTGCTCATTACTCGCTCCTGATTAACCTGATTATTAAATAATAAAATCAAAATGAATTCTCTTTACATTGGAAACAGTCTATTTTTTTTTAAATTCTAGACACACTTCCTGGCTAGATACGTCTTAAAAGTCAAATTTTGTCCCTTTGATTTTCAGTCGAATTCACCACCAGTAAACTAATAACTAAGAGCTAAATTAACAAGGGTCGTACAAGATGGTAACTATAAATGTTATTTTCCAATAATCTTCTCCTTGTTAATAATAACAATAATAATAATAATAATAATAATAATAATAATAATATTTTATTATTATTATTATTATTAATGCTGATAATTATTATTATTATAATCAAGGGGGAAGCCACTAAACCCATAGGATTATACAGTGCTTGGGGGAGAGATGGAAGGTATTCAGGTTTAACTCAGGGAACTGGAGCACAGATCCAGTTCCCTAGATCAAGAGCCCCTCACCAGCATCAAGGAACCTTCCTTGAGGGGATTAATGCTGATAAATTAAAACTATAGAATGGAAAGGCAGTGATGTTCCATCCAAGGAGAGGACAGCTCCGATTCCTTGGATCATGAGCCTTTCATGGGAATCAAGGGTTTGGATAATAAAGCGAAACATTTTTATATTTTATTGCTAATTTTCATAACATTAAAAAGACAATAAAAATATTGAAAATAACGATAAAACATATTTACATTTTATTAACGGTTTTATTACCCCAAAAAATAATAAATAAAACCATAAGAAAATTAATAATAATACTAATATAAAAATAATTATAACAATATTGATACTAATGTGTTTACTAACGTTTATAATAATATTTTCACTAATAATAATAAAAATAATAAAAATAATAATGATTCATTAAGAAGAGAATATCGATATTATTATATTCATGGGGAAACGCTTAACCCGCAGGGGTCACATAGCACCTTGGGGACAGGAAGTGATAAGATTCGGTATAAAAAATGGAAAAGGCAGATCCAAATCCCAGAACCAAAAGCCTCTCATAAGAGTCCAATATATTGACCTATCTGAAGTAGTCGTAGAAGTAGACAGGTCCCGGGTTGGATCTTCTGTGGTAGTCAGCTGTAAGTTGCTGGTGTGTCGGGTAGTGTCCGGCTCCCAGAGACTCCAGTAAATATACACCCCTTGGACCGTGGGCCTTGGCGAACTCCAATTGATTCCTGCAGGTATATACAATTATACATATATATTGTGCAGGACAAGCCACGGGGGGGGGGTGGAAATCTTTAGCTCAAGTACTTTCACACTTCTCAGTGCGTCATCAGGAGCTGTGCGATGTTGCAAGGGAGCAACCAAAGCAGGGAGAGAGGTCTCAGAGTAGCGTAGATGTCACTGTCTACTGTTACCCTTAGACTGGGCTTCTGAGATGTCAAGTATGAAAATTGACATCTCAGAAACCCTCCTACCCCACATGGGGAGTAGGGGATGATGGTAGGGTGGTGTTGGCACCGACCACTAACCCAGTCAAAGGGTAACCGTGGCCGGTCACACCTACGCTACTCTGAGACCTTTCTCCCTGCCTTGGGTGCTCCCTTGCAACATTGCACAGCTCCTGATGGCGCACTGAGAAGTATGAAAGTACTTGAGCTAAAGATTCCCCCCCCCCAGTGGCTTGCTCTGCATAGTTAAGATCGCCAGTCTGCGATTTATATATATATATATATATATATATATATATATATATATATATATATATATATATACTTATGCAATAAGATCACTGTAAACAGGTGATATCTCAATATGCAGAATAACCAATGTGGAAAAATAGTGAAATTCAGAGAGATTTCGTGATTTCTCACATTATCAGGGAACTGATAGTGAAAAATCACGAGAGCGTTTGTTATTTCACAATTGTTTCATAGGGGTTGCTCTGCATATATAATATATATATATATATATATATATATATATATATATATATATATATATATATATATATATATATATATAAAACATTATAAAGGTGACGTGTCCACACCTGTAAGGTGCAACAGGGTCCACCTCGAAGCGTTGAGGCACGATGAGATAAACACTGCCTAGCTGACTGATTGTAGCTTCCAACACCTTCACCAACGCCAACGCTAGTAACACCAACGCCACCTGTTGGAGGGAACACAAATAATAACTTGCTCGACATCGATAGCAAAATTATTATAGCCAGGCACTCCTGGCGTACCCAGTATTCTTATATATATATATATATATATATATATATATATATATATATATATATATATATATATATATATATATATATATATATATATATCATATATATATATATATATATATATATATATATATATATATATATATATATATATATATATGTATATATATTCTCACACGAGAAGTTCAGACGTCGCAGCTTTACAGGTTTCACGATATCTTCAGAGTTCAGTCGGCGCTACAGGAATATATTAAGCTACTGTTGTCTATATATATATATATATATATATATATATTATATATATGTGTGTGTGTGTAAGATAAAATGTGAACGTGTTAGATTGGAGTGAGTGGAGATAAGTGTTTTTAGGATTTGACGTGCTGTTAGAGTGTGAGCAAGGCAACTCAGCGGAAACCAGTTTTCTATGCATGAGTCCTGGAATTAGAAAATACAGGACGGGTGAGGATGTTGCAGTTCAGAGGGCCATTTATACTCTTATATGAGCGCACTTCTGGCAATACAGTTATTGAATGAATGATGGTAAATGTATTCTTTGCTGTCACTTTACCTTGGTGACTGCGGGTGTGGTGAAAAATAAAAATTCCATTCTCCCTCTTCATCAGTACACACAAGGGAATTTCCGCAGCAGGATCAAGGAGTCTTGGGATTTCCAGACCCTGAAGACAACAGACTCGCTCCAGACCTCTTACGACTCTCTTCCCTAATTCATGGATCCTGAACCAGCTACCACCACAAACATATATACACCTAGCGATGTGTATTTCTCAGTGCATATATACTGAGAGGTGAGTATCTTTCAGTGTACATACAGCGAGAAGTGTGTATATCATATGTTTACAAGAGATTACCTTAAACATAATTAGTGAGAAAACTATTCTTGACTGGTATCATATGATATATACCCTTAATGACCCTCGTGTAGTTGATAGGTTTGAAACCCAATGAACAGTCCAATCAACTATTATACCTATTACTTAAATTCTTCACAAAACTTTCACTGAGAGTTTTCTAACTGTTGAATTGTCTCCTCTTGCCTTGCTACATCATGTCCTCGTTTATTTATAAATCTCTAAATAAAAATGAGGTTCTGAATGTGTATAATGAACGCACATTTAGTCACTGTGGACATTATCAGTCACATTGATTAATGAACTCCCGTGTGGTAAGAGCGTCTTCTAACAAAATGAGTTAAAAGTTTCCACACTTGTCTATATTTACCACACTCTGCTAAGTAAAGATAGTGAGGCAATTTTTAGAGGTTAGAAAAAATATGAATGGGTATAACTGGGCGCAAACTGGAGGATGGTAAATTAAGACATCCAAAGCAGAGCAAACCTTTACTAATGCAACTTATCGCTTGAGAGCTATACCATGAGCGAAACGTTTTATCAAGAGAAACTGACTCTGCTCCATCCATACTGCTGAGAACATTCAAAGGGACCTAAATAATAAAATATACACTCAATATCGACTACGTTTCGCCCAGTGTACCACATTATAGCATGAGCGTGTGGACACAACGTTCTCAAAAAAAAAAGGCATTTAATATAAATTCATTTGCCTAACATCACGTCGTTATCTAATATAATAATTTATCTACCTCAAGTATAGGTCAGTTCTCCTTTGCATTTTTAAAATGGGACTGAAGAAAAAAATATACTAAGACTAGGAAGCCATTGTCTACATAGGCTTGCTAGCTTCAGAACTGGTTTACACTGGGTAAAAAAAAAACCACCCACTATCTGACTTGAACAACGGAGAAAGCAGGCAAATATTGACTGGACACCACTTTAGGTAACGAAAATCCTATATTTAACGAATTTTCGGGCTCACTGGGGCCATCAGTTACCTAGTTAAGCCCCACTCTAGGTAATAAAGCCCCACTGCAGAAAATAAAGCCCCACTGTAGACAACAAAGTCCCATTATGGGTTAAACTGTGCAAAATGTATTGTTTGGTGCGTAAGGTGAATCAGAATTCCTTGCCAAACAGACTTCCGCTGGGAGAGTTACTTATCCCAAGGTTAACTTATGCTCCGGGAACTCCAAATGTTGCCATCACTTGTTTCACTTTCATCCTGTTATAGAGCATCTGTATCTACATTCTGTGCATGCATATGCAATTAGGTCATGGTAAACAGTAAATCACTATTTGTCCATTTATATATAACACTGCGACTAGCCGAGGATTCGAACCCATGTCGTTTTGGCCCACCTCATGGTGTGCGAAAATCACACATGATGCTCTAACCCACGGGAGTTGCTTTGTAGGATTGCGTGGTTCCGTGGGTTAGAGCGCCATGTGTGATTTTCGCTCACAATGAGCTGGGCCAAAACGATATGGGTTCAAATCCTCGGCTAGTCGCAGTGTTATTGATTAATGCCAAATTTAGTCATCTCCTCCTCCGAATCGATCGTAAAATAAATTCATAACCCATTGATGACTGAATACAAAAAATTAAAAACCTGTAAAAGAAAACTGAAAATATTGTATTTAACCTCCCACAGCAGGGATGAAAATACAGTGGAAAACTTAGCCTTATAATTATCTTGGCAGAAAATTAGAAAACTTACAGGAATCTTACTAAGAGTCTAAGAAATAGAGGGACAACTTTCTTGCTGTCTTGAAGAATGAAAAGAAAAAACTTACTGGAAATTTACTCAAGCTGCCTTGAAGTTTTTAGTTAGTTTAATATGTTTATTATGCACCCCATACCCATCCTGTGGGCGGTAGACAAAAGATTACAGAGGTACATAATTGGTCCAGGGACTGGACTCCAAAGTTTTGATAGCTGAGCAAGTTACAGAGGTAATGAACTCACAATTTACAAATGTAATGAACTCACAATTTACAAAGGTAATGAACTCACAATTTACAAAGGTAATGAACTCCAGGTAAGTCTGGTCACAATCATGACAAGTTACAAAGGTATTTACAGATTACAGAGGTACGTAATGGGTCCAGGGACTGGGCCCCCAAAATTTTGATAGCTGAACTAGGTACAAAGCCAAAAAAATATTTATTAGAAACCTACCATCATTCTTTTGAAGAAATACATCATCGATGTGATTTTTGTTCTTCGTAGTAGATTCAGATTCTTTATAATCTGTACGACGCAGATTCTTACTTATTTTTAGACGATTTAGCTTCTCTTTTAAATTACACGGATTTCTTTCTATTATGGGAGTTATATTTTGGGGGGTTCTAGATGATAGATTATTTTCCAACGGAAATTATTAATATTCTTGATTTTAAATTATTCAGGCCTTTTGCTATTTTAAATAGATTCTGAACTGGTTGATCGTACGGGCTAATACACAACTATTACTCATGTGTGTCAAGTTCAACACATGATGATCTGAGTAATATTTCTCGTCACGCACTTCTGGAATCACTCATTTAAAACACCGTCCTCACACGAGAAGTTCAGACGTCGCAGCTTTACAGGTTTCACGATATCTTCAGAGTTCAGTCGGCGCTACAGGAATATATTAAGCTACTGTTGTCTACTAACAATTTGCATCCAAATGGAATACTGTCAACAATGGAGTAAATAAAAAGAGACATGTTAGACACGTTAATTGGGAACACGTTTCACTCTGTGTAGAGCTTCAAAGACTTGATAAAGCTCTACACAGAAAGATATTTCACTCTGTGTAGAGCTTCAAAGACTTGATAAAGCTCTACACAGAAAGACATTTTGTCCCAATGGAAGAGTGCTCTAAAACTTGCTTTTTTAATACATATTATTAGCATTACTTTGTATTCCAGCGCATAATGCTCATATATATATATATAATATATATATATATATATATAATATTTATATATATATATATAATATATATATATATATATATATATATATATATATATATATATATATATGTCGTGCCGAATATGTAAAACTGGTAAATTAGCAAGAACTCATTTAAAATTAAGTCCTTTCTAAAAATTTCTCTTATACGTTTAAAGATATATATTTTTCATTAATGTTGATGTAAAAATTTATAATTTTGCACCAAAAGGAACTTAGAAAACTTACCTAACCTTATTATAACAAGAACAATTTATTTTAGCCTAACCCAACTAAATATATTTTAGATTTGTTTACAGTAATTTAATACTAAACAAACACAGTGAAATATATTTTTTTCGTGAGGTTCAGAATGATTTTGGCGAAATTATTGCATACACAAATTTTCACTTGTCCTATATGGCAAGATGAGCGTTGCTATTTAAGCCAAGATGGCAAGTTCTGCCTATTCGGCACGACAATATAAAATATATATATATATATTATATATATATATATATATATATATATATATATTATATATATATATATATATATATATATTGTATGTTTATACTGAGAAAATATGGGAAAAGACGCTTAATAACAGTTCAGGACATTTATTAAAGGAAACACTTTTCTTCTAGTGGCATTTTCTTTCTCAATTACAACTGAAGAAGACACGCTCGTGGAAAAACGGTCCCTTTAATAAATGCATTGAACTGTACATAAGTTTCTTTTTCTCCACAAATGCTTAAGGAATGAGTGCACACACTCTTGCTAGGTCCTATCGGAGAAACAACAAGGTACTCTCTCTCCACGCGTCCAGCGCACACTTCGACCACACCAACACTGAGTTGCAGGCGAGTAGAACATTAGCCAAGCACCGGGTGGGAGTGGCTCATCTCTGGGAAGGTGAAGGGGGATGCTGGGACTGCGGGGGGAATGAAAGCTTGGTAGAGGTATGAAGACAATCTTGGGGAGTGTGTGTGTATGTGTGTGGGTAGGAAGAGTGGGTCGTGCAGGATGGGAGGGGTTCTACGAGCCATGAATGCAAATGATTGCAAATGAATATCTTGTGATCTACTTTTGCCACTGTTAGGTATTTTATATGCTCTGTAGATGTACGCATGAAATCGGACGTCATTATTGCAATCTAGGAAAATAGGTAATAAAACAGGAACACACACACACACAGAGAGAGAGAGAGAGAGAGAGAGAGAGAGAGAGAGAGAGAGAGAGAGAGAGAGAGAGAGAGAGAGAGAGAGAGAGAGAGAGAGAGAGAGAGAGAAACAGAAAGAAACTGATAAATATAGTTCAACTAGTAACAAGGGCAGCTCTATTATCTGCACGTGCAACTTTCGGTGTAGGTGCTCACGAAATGTGACCGCTGAAGATGTCTCGCAAGTGTTCTTGTGACATCAAAAGCAGCAACTTCCAAGTCATGACCCAAACATGGTTTCTGCTCCGTAATTTTCGCTCACTGCAGAGCCCTGTTCTATGTCACCCCAATTTGGCCTAAAACAAACGTTACTTTCATTATTTAAATAATAATGTTAATGATAATAATGATAATTATAATAATTATAATACAATAATTATAATAATACCGGACCATGGTTAGCGGACGGAAAATAGAGCCTTCACCTCTACTTGCACCAATGGATCGACACTGAGATGCAATGCGATATGTAGCTCAATAGAAGATTGTTCAGCTGACAAGTCGCATGTCCAGGTTCGATTCCTGGTTATTCGAGATGTATAGACAAGTCTCTTTACACCCGTTACCCCTTTTCTCCTGACAGTAAATATGTACCTACCTGTCTGTTGGCTCCTGTTGTCACATTATGGGGAAAAAGTCTTGGCCATCCATAGTTATTAACTCTCTGGGGTAAATAACCCGAAGAAAATACTACTACTACTGCGACCATGACTACCACTACTACTGCTGCTGCTACTACGACTGTGACTACTACTACTACTGCTGCTGCTGCTACGACTATCACTACTACTACTGCTACTCCTGCTTGTTGCTATTGTTATTGTTGTTCGTCTTCTTCCTCTTCTTCTTCAAGGAACATCGGCCACTCGCTGACAGACACACAGTATTACATCTTAGGAAGAAGGTCATCTCAGTAATGTATGCCGTCTTTCCACGAGACCTCATTGTTACGTTAGTCTCATAATTGTCTTGTCATCCCAGATTTCAGTCTAGCTAATTTTCTGTGTCTCACCGCCATTATCACTCTGTTGTGAGTGGGACTTTTCTGTCACTGACAAAAGTCATTATTTACAAGGAAAGAGAATGAACGACATTTGCTCTATACATCATTCTTGTAAGAAGTAAGGAAAGAGGCTGTCATGTGCTGTCTATATAATACTCGTTAGGTGAGGAAAGAGATTCTCTTCGTTGTGCTTAACTATTGGAATAATCAAATGGTATAAAAGCAAAACTAGGAATTAGAGTGGAGAACAAAAATCTAGATATTTTTCTTGTATAAAAACCACCATCAGCAAGATGTATAACTGCCTTCAAATACCTGAAAATCCAGCACTAAATATATATTCGTATAATCTATATATCACTCCTCCAAGGTTAAGAAAAAAAAAGGCTAAAAGGGACTATGAAATTAAAGTTGCTAGGGATTCTAAAACTAACCCAAAAAGTTTTTTCCAGGTCTATAGAACAAAAGTTAGAGATAAGATAGGTCCCCTTAAAAATAACTATGGGCACCTTACTGACAATGAGAATGAAATGTGCTTGATTTTAAATAATTATTTTCTCTCAGTTTTTACACAGGAAGACACTAACAATATTCCAGTAATTAATTTTTACAGTGGGCTAGAAGAAGATAAATTATGTAACATCACAGTCACTGTGAGATGGTTGTGAGGCAGATAGACAGACTGAAGCAAAATAAGTCGCCGGGTCCTGATGAGGTTTTTTCAAGGGTTCTTAAGGAATGCAAAATGGAACTCTGTGAACCATTAACTAATATTTTTAATTTATCTCTTCAAACAGGTGTAGTGTCTGATATGTGGGAAGATGGCTAATGTAACTCCTATTTTTAAAACGGGGACAAGTCGTTACCGTCAAATTACCGCCCAATAAGCCTGACCTCAATTGTAGGCAAATTACTAGAGTCAATTATAGCTGAGATTATAAGAAGCCATCTCGATAAGCATAGCTTGATTAATGATACTCAGCATGGATTCACAAGAGGCCGGTCTTGTCTAACTAATTTATTAACTTTCTTCAGTAAAGCTTTTGAGGCTGTTGGACCACAATAAAGAATTTGATATTATTTACTTAGATTTTAGTAAGGCTTTTGATAGAGTTCCGCACCAGAGACTGTTAAAGAAAGTGGCAGCTCATGGTATTGGGGGAAAAGTGCTCTCGTGGATCGAGTCATGGCTCACTGACAGGAAGCAGAGAGTGTCCATAAATGGGTTAAATCCGAGTGGGGATCTGTAACAAGTGGCGTTCCACAGGGATCAGTCTTGGGCCGTTGTTTTTTTATAATATATATCAATGATCTTGATGAGGAATTACTAGTGATATGAGCAAATTCGCCGATGACACAAAGATAGGTAGGATAATTGATTCAAACGTAGATGTTAGGGAACTTCAGGAGGATTTAAACAAACTCTATTCTTGGTCAGAAAAGTGGCAGATGCAGTTCAATGTAGATAAATGCAAGGTTTGAAGCTTGGGAGTGTCCATAACCCTAGTACTTATAAGTTAAATGATGTAGAACTTAGCCATACAGATTGCGAAAAGGACTTGGGGGTTATGGTGAGCAGCAACCTTAAACCAAGACAGCAATGCCTAAGCGTACGTAATAAGGCAAATAGATTACTGGGATTTATATCAAGAAGTGTAAGCAACAGAAGTCCAGAAGTCATACTGCAGCTTTATACATCATTAGTAAGGCCTCACCTTGATTATGCAGCTCAGTTCTGGTCTCCGTATTACAAAATGGACATAAATTCGTTAGAAAACATTCAGCGTAGGATTGACTAAATTAATACATAGCATCAGAATCTTCCTTATGAAGAAAGATTGAAGACTCTTAAGTTACATTCACTTGTTAGACGAAGAATGAGGGGAGACCTGATCGAAGTGTATAAGTGGAAGATAGGTATTAATAAAGGGGATATTAATAAGGTCTTGAGGATGTCTCTCCAAGAGAGAACCCGCAGTAATGGATTTAAATTAGATAAGTTTAGATTTAGAAAGGACATAGGAAAGTATTGGTTTGGAAATAGGGTAGTTGATGAGTGGAACAGTCTACCTAGTTGGGTTATTGAGGCTAGGACTTTGTTTAGTTTCAAATCTAGGTTGGATAAGTACATGAGTGGGAAGGGTTGGATTTGAGTGGGACTTTCACATCAGAGCTTATTTCTTGGGTAGCATTGAAAATTGGGTTGGGTAAATGTTTTGTTAGTGGGATGAATTGTAAAGGACCTGCCTAGTATGGGCCAGCAGGCCTCCTGCAGTGTTCCTCCTTTCTTATGTTCTTATGTTCTTATAACACTCAGGTTAGAAACGAAATTAACATTAACATAATTCTCAGACAATAGTGGTCTCTGTACCCTGGATATGATACCTTCCAGTAAATAATTTCTTCAGAAGTGAATGCAAGTCTTATAAAGTTATCTACATGCCAGCATACATTAAACTATGCTGGCACGTATCACTGAAATAAGGAAACATATGCTATCTAAAACTAGATGTAGCATAAAAATGAAACAAACATACTTTTTGCATATCATTCGTCAGAAGCTGGAAACCACTCTGACAAATTCTATGTAAACCAATGTCTCTTCAGTGTAAGCTGATGTTCACACCACAGGGATGAGTGGCGACTGCTGCAGGGTTGCACTGGTCTTACTGTTAAGTAATACCTGGTGTCAACAGTGTAATGCGTGAAGTAACGCTACTTCGCTCGTGGTGTTGACCTTCCGATATAAACATTGCTTTAACACTCGTGTTATTTAGAAGTTCACAGAGTGAAAACTGTACACAGGAACGTTACGACACATCAAGTTTTAATTGCACACTCATACACAGCACATGCACACACACTGCTACATATGTCTTTCCCTTCACAGCCTAGAATGAGGTTACTTTACGTTGTGTTGCGTGTTTAGGTTAGTTTAGGTTAGGATGATTTAGCTTAGGATTGGTTAGGTTATGCTATATTAGGTAAGGTTAGCTTGAATTACGTTAAGTTATATAACGTTAGATTAATGAAAGCCAAAATTTGGAAATAATAACCAATAATAACAACATACAACACCAGAGAGAATATTAATTTGACATAACATCGACCGGGTGAACCTAAACGCTGGAGTGATCAACGTCGGGAAAATCAACGATTTCTTCACTGGCACTGATGAACATAGCTTTAATGCACGGTATATACCTCTTCTAGATCTTTGAAGGATGGGCTGCCTAGGCCCACATGCGAGCCACCATAAGCTTGAGAGCATTTCTATGTTAAGAGGCGCTAGCCTGTAAGGGTTATACAGCGCCTTGGGAATGGAAGGTAAACAAATTTGATCCGATAAAAAAGGATGGAATCTCAGTTTCCTCTAGAATAAGAGCCCTTCACCAGCAACAATGTAAGTTTGAGGTCAGCATGTAAGAAATACTGCAACTCAGCACCATCACCCTTGCACCACAATGGTTGTTACAAGCCTTCTGTACGTTCTATATTTATTCGAAGTGCATAAAACCAACCACAAGTCCTGCAGTCATCTTTACTAGCTGTAAGCACAGCTAATCAGCACTATTAGTGGTTGTATACATCCTTAGATGATCTGGTGATTGTTAGGGTGCCCTGGCACGTCTGACTTGTCAGAGTGGGTTGGATAACTGGCTCGATTACATCGATTATTGTAATTATTTAAGCCAGACTCATTCTTGCTCGTAGCTGGATCATATCTCAGTGCTACTGTTAATCATTATTCTGTAATATGTCTACATTCTTGTACATTTGTAAATACTGTCTATAGTAAGTTGGTGAAACGTAAATATATGTAAATCGCACAATCCAGTTTTGAGTCTTCCTTGCTGGGCAATTTTTATGG